CAAACTCGGAAAGGACCCCCCCCAAACTGGGAAAGGAAACCCCAAACTGGGCAAGAAAACCCCAAACTGGGCAGGGACACCCCCAAACTGGGAAAGGACCCCCCCAAACTGGGAAGAAAACCCCAAACTAGGCAGGGAACCCCCCAAACTGGTCAAGGACCCCCGAACTGGGCAGGGATCCCCCCCAAACTGGGGAAGGGTCCCCCCTCTCCCCACTGCCCCCCCCAAAACGCCCCGTCCCGTTGATGCTGCCGCCCCCTGGCGGCCACGCGCGGGGCTGCAGGAGGGGGCGGGGCTCCTCGGCGGGTGATTGGCAGGAGAGTGGCCCAATGGGGATCCTCAAGGTTCTCGGCCCCATGGGGTCCTTCTCCCCACAGCTCCATGTCCCCCTGACCCACAGCTCCATGTCCCCAAGGGATCTCAGACCCATGGGCTCCATGTCCCCATGGCTCAATGTCCCTCTGACCCACAGGTTCAACATCCCCAAGGACCTTGGACCCATGGGCTCCTTCTCCCCACAGCTTCATGTCCCCATGGCTCCATGTCCCCCTGACCCACAGCTCCATGTCCCCAAGGGATCTCAGACCCATGGGCTCCATGTCCCCATGGCTCAATGTCCCTCTGACCCACAGGTTCAACATCCCCAAGGACCTTGGACCCATGGGCTCCTTCTCCCCACAGCTTCATGTCCCCATGGCTCCATGTCCCCCTGACCCACAGATTCTACATCCCCAAGGACCTTAGACCCATGGACTCCGTGTCCCCCTGACCCACAGGTTCCATGTCCCCAAGGACCTCAGACCCATGGGCTCCTTGTCCCCATGGCTCCACGTCCCCCTGACCCACAGGTTCTACATCCCCAAGGACCTCGGACCCATGGGCTCCTTCTCCCCACAGCTCTGTGTCCCCAATGTCCCCCTGACCCACAGCTCCATGTCCCCATGGCTCGATGTCCCCATAGATCTCTGACCCAGGAGCTCCAGGTCCCCACATCCCCCTGAAGCTCCTTGTCCCCATGGGCTCCATGTCCCTCTGACCCACAGCTCCATGTCCCCAAGGACCTCAGACCCATGGGCTCCATGTCCCCATGGCTCAGTGCCCCCACATCCCCCTGACCCATGGGTTCCTTGGCCCCAAAGATCTCAGACCCATGGGCTCCATATCCCCCCATCTCCCTGAAGCTCCTTGGCCCCAAAGATCTCAGACCCACAGGTTCTACAGCCCCAAAGATCTCAGACCCATGGGCTCCATGTCCCTCTGACCCACAGCTCCATGTCCCTTGGACAAGGACCCCCCCCAAACTGGGCAAGGACCCCCCCCAAACTGGGAAAGGACTGGCTCAAACTGGGTTGTCCCCATGGCTCCACGTCCCCCTGACCCACAGGTTCTACATCCCCAAGGACCTCGGACCCATGGGCTCCTTCTCCCCACAGCTCTGTGTCCCCAATGTCCCCCTGACCCACAGCTCCATGTCCCCATGGCTCGATGTCCCCATAGATCTCTGACCCAGGAGCTCCAGGTCCCCACATCCCCCTGAAGCTCCTTGTCCCCATGGGCTCCATGTCCCTCTGACCCACAGCTCCATGTCCCCAAGGACCTCAGACCCATGGGCTCCATGTCCCCATGGCTCAGTGCCCCCACATCCCCCTGACCCATGGGTTCCTTGGCCCCAAAGATCTCAGACCCATGGGCTCCATATCCCCCCATCTCCCTGAAGCTCCTTGGCCCCAAAGATCTCAGACCCACAGGTTCTACAGCCCCAAAGATCTCAGACCCATGGGCTCCATGTCCCTCTGACCCACAGCTCCATGTCCCCAAGGACCTCAGACCCATGGGCTCCGTGTCCCCATGGCTCAGTTGCCCCCACACCCCCCTGACCCATGGGTTCCTTGGCCCCAAAGATCTCAGACCCACAGGTTCCACGTCCCCAAGGGATCTCTGACCCATGGGCTCCATGTCCCCCCATCTCCCTGAAGCTCCTTGGCCCCAAGGATCTCAGACCCATAGACTCCGTCTCCCCATGGCTCCATGTCCCCCTGACCCACAGGTTCCATGTCCCCAAGGGATCTCAGACCCATGGGCTCCATGTCCCCCTGACCCATGGATTCCTTGGCCCCAAAGATCTCAGACCCACAGGTTCCACGTCCCCAAGGGATCTCTGACCCATGGGCTCCTTGTCCCCATGTCCCCCTGAAGCTCCTTGGCCCCAAAGATCTCAGACCCATGGGCTCCATGTCCCCCTGACCCATGGATTCCTTGGCCCCAAAGATCTCAGACCCACGGGCTCCTTCTCCCCACAGCTCCATGTCCCCACGTCCCCCTGAAGCTCCTTGGCCCCAAAGATCTCAGACCCATGGGCTCCACGTCCCCTTGACCCACAAGTTCTACATCCCCAAGGGATCTCAGACCCACGGGCTCCTTGTCCCCACGTCCCCCTGACCCATGGGTTCCTTGGCCCCAAAGATCTCAGACCCATAGATTCCATGTCCCCCCATCCTCCTGAAGCTCCTTGGCCCCAAAGATCTCAGACCCACAAGTTCCATGGCCCCAAGGGATCTCAGACCCATGGGCTCCATGTCCCCACGTCCCTCTGAAGCTCCTTGGCCCCAAAGATCTCAGACCCATGGGCTCCATGTCCCTCTGACCCACAAATTCTACATCCCCAAGGATCTTGGACCCATGGGCTCCTTGTCCCCACGTCCCCCTGACCCATGGGTTCCTTGGCCCCAAAGATCTCAGACCCACAGGTTCCATGGCCCCAAGGGGTCTCTGACCCATGGGCTCCATGTCCCCACGTCCCCCTGAAGCTCCTTGGCCCCAAAGATCTCAGACCCATGGGCTCCATGTCCCCACGTCCCCCTGAAGCTCCTTGGCCCCAAAGATCTCGGACCCATGGGCTCCATGACCCCAAGGGATCTCAGACCCATAGATTCCATGTCCCCACGTCCCCCTGAAGCTCCTTGGCCCCAAAGATCTCAGACCCACAAGTTCTACCTCCCCAAGCATCTCAGACCCACAGGTTCCTTCTCCCCACGTCCTGAACCTCCTCATCCCCCCACCCCTCCAG